CTGCCCAGCTATGGGCCTCCTGGTCGGTGACCGCAACGGACCCCACCTGGCCAGCCGCCGCCGCCGCCAACGCCGCCTCCACCAGCGGCGGTGACGGTGACGGCAGCGGCGGCGGTGGCGGCACAGGTGGTCGCGCGGCGGCGCTAGCTGCACAGTTCCCTGGTGCGGCTGGCGTGTCACTGCTTTCGCTGCAGCTCAGGATCCCCCCCGTCGTGTTACCCGGGCAGGTACTGGGCACTACCGAGCTCCGAAACCCTCCGTACGCACCAAAATGGCTGGATCGGCTTTGCTGCAGGGCGTTTTCACAAAAAGCCGCACGCCACATACAGCACACACACACGCACACACAGCCAGCCAAGCTTGCGTTCCCTAGACTCTAGAGAGAAACCTGGCCGCAGGCCATTTAGGCTCGCTCGTCCATGTGTACGGCACATAACTTACAACGACCTGAAACTGACTTTAAGAGGACTGTATTAATCTAGTTGGTGGTTGGCGGAAGGACATCTGCCCCGTCAGCGACTAGTCTTCGACTACATTCGCTAGTAGAGTAGAGTATCCGGCCCCCAGTTTAGCATCAGTCATCAAACCCTTGAAAAACACAATGCCATCGATGTGGCTAACCCCGACTTGTGGTGTCTGTGGTGCATGCTGCTGTCTAGCAGGACTCGTATTGCTCGGACACGTTAACTGAGGACCTTCAAGCGCGTCTGGTGCAGTCGCTGTCCCACAGTCTTAATGTTGGCTGCGGCAGCAGCAGTAGCAGCGGCAGCAGTAGCAGCGGCAATATCAGCCGCAACAACGCTATCGGCTGTAGCGTCCAAGTCGTATGCACCGTTGTGGAACTGGGCTCTGGAGGCGCCGCGGAGCCATCCCGTACATCCCCTCTCAGAGCATTAGCTGCAGCTGCAGCGGCATTGGAGGTAGGAGCAGCAGCGTCTGCTGGCGGCGGCGGGCAGCACCGCCGGCGGCTAAGGCAGGAAGTGGAGGAAACAGCGGCGAAGACACCTACCGTGGCTGATACCGGTGGGGGCGCCGGCAATGACAGCGATGTTTGCAGCATGCTTTGGGGGCCTGTCTCCAATGGCAGCGGTACGGACGGCAGCGGTGGCGGCGGCGGCGGCGGCGGCGGCGGCAGCAGCAATGGCGATGCCGGAGGAGCTATGCGACGCGGGTCTCGATGGGAGGTGATGTTGGCACTAGCGAATGACATACAGGCTGGCGACAGCGCCGCCGGTGCTGCCGCCGCCCCCGCCGCCACCTCCGCCGCCACCTCCTCGCCTCCACCTGGCTCAGCCGCCGTACGGAATGGAAGCCTCGAAAACTTGAGCAGTGCGGACCTGTCAAGCCTTGTGTACGACACCATGATGAGCTGGGCAGCCTTCAGCTCGGCCGACCCGCTGGTGTTAGAGTGTCTGCCGTCGTCGGTGTCGTACAGCATCGTCGCGGAGGTACGTGCATATATGTGTGTACACGCACGTGTTTATGTGTACGGCACATGGACGAGAGATCCTTTATATGTTTACATGTATGTTTTAAGTGAGGCTGATACTTTAGGGTTTGATTTCCACTGGTACTTGTGCCTGCTGGAGTCATGTGCTTCTTGCGTCTGTGCTGCGCCTGGGCGTCATGTGTGGTTCGTCACTTGGTTTAGGTTTAGGCACATAACCGCCTCCCCCGCAAACCCCCACGACAAACATACATATATCATCCGAACTCCCTCCAGATCGCCCGTGAGACGTACAATAACTTCCAACGACCAACCAACTGCAGGTGCAGGTGACGTACCGCGCCGCGCTTAGTGAAGCGGGTCGGCTGGTGTACCTGTCCTTGTGCCCCCCTGGATCTGGATCTGGATCTGGATTTGGCACCTCACAGCAGCAGCAGCAGCAGCAGCAGGATCTCTCGAATGAGATAGCCGTACAGCTAGGAATCGGCGGCGCCGCGGCGTGCGGCGTGGATGACGCCACCAGCGCATCAGCGGCCCCGCCGTCTTTGTCGGTATGGCAGGTGTACGGTGTGTGACCTGTACGACAATTTATAGGACGGGAGGATGGGGGCGGAAGCATGGATCCCCATGATACGCCTCACACCTCTTGCACTCGCTTCTTAACTCGTTTAGTTATTCCACCGTATTTAGCCAGTGCGCGAGCCATTATGCGTCCGAAGCGGCGCGAAGCCGTTTTGGTCAGGAGCTGTGAGGTGTGAGGTGTGAGGGCCGGGGTATGGGCCATCTGGCTAAGGGCTTTACAGAGGCCCTTAAGGGACACGCCGTGCCTGTCTCGTGCTGTGATCCTCCTTGGATCTGTGCCTTCCCAGCCGATAGATAGGTCGTGCTGTGAAGATGCGCAAAAGAGTTTCGACCTACAGGTCTACGGGTTTGACGGCTGGTCGCAGGCCGCGCCAAGCAGAGGATCGAGCGCCACGGACAGTGGTGCGGCTGCCGCCGCCACTGGGTCTAGCAGTGAAGCCGGCGGCGGCGCTGGGTCCAATAGCGCCGGCGGTAGCATCGGTGGCGGCGGCGCTGGGTCCAGCACTGGCGCCGGTGGCGGCGTTGCTGGCGGGGGCGCTGGGTCCAGCACTAGCGCCGGCGGGGACGGACCTAGCAATGCTAGGCGGGATGACGTCGGGTCCAACAATGCCATCAGCGGCGGCAGCAGCAGCGGCGGCGGCGGCGGCGGCTCGGCGAGCTCAAGCCCCGGCAACATCGCTGCAGTTGCTGGCGGCATTGCCGCGGCAGCACTTGCGCTGATCTTGGTGTTGGCGGCGGTCACCACAGTGCTTGTACGGCGGGCGCGGCGGCAACTGCGGGGCCCTAACGGGGTTAATGGCGGCGGCGGTAGCGGCAGCAGCGGCGGGAAGGGTAGTAAAACCTGGCAGGAGAGGTTTGATTCGCCATGGGAGCAACCTTCGCCGCCACCATCGCCACCACCATCGCCGCCGCCGTCACGTCTTCTTTGGAATCTCCTTCCCATGGTGCGGCGTCCTGTAAAACATGTCCTACAACACGCGCACCACGTCCTTTCGCCAACCATTACTTGCTAAACCCTAAAACCCTAGGAAGGTTCCCCCGAGCTCCAGGGACGCGGGACCCAAAACTAAAACCCAAATCAAAAAAACCACAACTTACAGAAACCCTAAACCCTCCTAAAACCCTAAAACCCTCCGACAGGCCACACCAGGGCCTCCGCTTGTGCGAGGCTTCCCAGGGTCCATGAACCGCCGCCGAGCCGCGGTCTATCAAGCGCAGGTCGTACCGCACCTCAACCAGAAGGAGCTGCTACAGCACCGCCAGCTTTCAAAACAGCGCATTGTACGGGAAAATGTTTTAAAGGGGCGTGGCGGCGGCGCCTGGGAGCATCCGTCGGATGATGATGAGCAGGAGGAAGCTCCTTCAGTGCAGCAGCGGCTGCAGCAGCAGCCATTGCCGCCGCTAGCGCCGCCGCTGCAGCAGCAGCAGCAGCAGCAGCGCGTGTGGCATTGGGGGCTGCACCAGCTGACGTGGCCGCTACTATTACAGAGACCGAAGGCACCGTCCCGAAGTGAGGGAGGCCCTTCGACGTTTTCCGGAGGTGCTCCTGCCGCTACTGCCGCTATTGTTACGTCTGTTGGGCAACAGCCGCAGCGGCGGCAAGGGTGCCAGCAAGGGCAAGGTGGGCCGATGGTGGCGGCAGTACGGCAGTGGCGGTACGCTGCGGAAGCTGCCCGTTCCGGAGGCGGCAGTACGAGCGGCTGTACGAGCTCAGTTGCAAGCGAGACAGGCGTGATGGCTTCTTCGGTGGCGGCAGCAGCGGTGTCGCTGCCGCCGGGGACGCTGCAGCAGGACCCCCAAGCTACGGCGGTGACGGCGACGGCGACGGCGAGGGCGAGGGCGGCAGGGGCGGCTGTGGCAGATTCGCCCAAGCATGGAGTTGTAGGCCTTAAAACGGGGCACTGGGTTCAGGTGCAGGCGCGCGCGGCTGCGTCCGCTCGGCTTGATCGACAGTGGGGTTGAGCGCATCCGCACGCCGTGCGTTATGGGACGTACGATAGCTCAGGGCTACTGCGATACGGCAGTACGGCAGCATTGGGAAGCAATGCAACCGTTGGCCGGCAGTCATGCAGGATAATGTACAGCCTTGACCAGTTGGAGTACTAAGGTCTAGCCGGGGTGGTTGGCTTCATTGAGGTACTGAGGACTGAGCGTTGATGGACGGGTGGATGGATGGATGGCATTCTGTAGCAGCCCGCCTTGAGCGCATATTTATTTTATCGGTTGTGTGTGCCGTACTGTACGACAGGTACAACACCTCCGGCCTGTAGATTATAACGTCTCAAAATTTAGTTTAAGTGCTTGGTGGTAGGGCCGCGTTAAGGGGCATTACTAGATGAAAAAACACTGTGTATGCGTGGGAGCTGGAGGTCGGGGGACTGGGGGGTTGGGTGGGGGCCGCGTTTGCATGTTACTTGCCGCTATGGGGGAAGCGAGTTCGCGACTGTACGAACAAGCGGTTAATGCCTTCTGTTGAGGTCCTTGACGCACGGCATACTGTGGACTGTGCATGAGCAACGCACATCCTATACAAGTATACTAGACAGATGACTTAAAGATAAAGATTGTTGCAAATAAATGCGTATGTACGGCTATGCCAAGGAAATAAAGGCAATACAGCAATAAAGCGGTACAGCAGTTGTGTCTGTTTGTGTATATGTGGTTTATTCACGTGTGGGGATGCAGCAGCAGGTTAGCGATACAAGCAGAGCATGGTAGGGCACCACAGCTATAGCAGCAATGGCAGAACGAGGCGGATGGTCCGATCGAGCCATATGCATGTGTGTGTATGTGTATTACACCTCGGCTGTGTTACCCGAGAGGTGTAAGGAGTCCCCATACGAGTCAGAGGTAGGGGCCCAAGAGCCTAGGAGCCATAAGTTACATACATAAACGCACATGCACACACAGCCTCACTAAGAACGAAGGCACAAGCGTGTGCGTGTCCGTGTCCCCCGCCTCATCAGCCATCCACACTGCCACTGCTACCACCATCACAACCACCATCATTACCCGCCACCACTACTACTACCACTACCACTACCACTACCACTACCACTACCACTACCACTACCACTACCTACCAACACCATTGCTACCACTACCACTACTACTACCACTACCACTACCACTACCTACCAACACCATTGCTACCACTACCACTACTACTACCACTACCACTACCACTACCACTACCACTACCACTACCACTACCACTACCACTACCTACCAACACCATTGCTACCACTACCACTACCACTACTACTACCACTACCTACTAACACCACTACTACCACCACTACCACACGATGATGATCATGATGATGATGCACTATCAAAATGCAAGCTCATCAGCTCCAGCAGATAGGGAAAACCCATCTCCAGCACCCATCCAGAAACAATCATAATACAACAATAACAACACACGCTTCCTCAGGTACCCTACAGTATCCAACAGACAGCAGCGGGCGGACTCCAAATAAACGGGATAGGATCCGCCGACCCGACATGGGATGAAACCGACTACCCAAATCTTCATCATTAATAAAGTACAGGCATAGGTATTCATACACACAGGTAAATATACGCACTTGCATGCATGTAAGTCATTGCTTACTTGCCGGTGCTAGATGCGTGAGATCTAGTGCACACTTGTGCTGCAACCCCACCTCGCAGCCCCCGGGGGTCCCCCCCCGAATTAATAACCCATTACGCTTATGCAAATGTAAAGGCCTGTATATACATGAGCCATACATACATACATACATACACGTATGTATGACCGTAAACCAAGTGCCACAAATTGCCCTTGGTTTAGTAAGGCGGCTGCTGGCAGGCAATGTTGACACAGACATTCTACCTAACAACTGCACACACCCATAGCCTTCGGCCTGCTGCTGCTGCTGCTGCTGCTGGCCTCCGACATCCGTCCTATCTAGCTACACCCCTCTATCTACTACTCTATCCAAGCGCATTATTGAATACCAACGAACTACACAATGCGATGCGAGGAGGGGATGTAATGATGCGAGTTCCTTCCTATCCTGTCTGGCATAACAATGTGAGATGCGCGCCTATACGTCGCCTGCTGTAGCAGCTGTACGAGTAGTACGGCACACCCATCGTCTACAAATACGCGCTAAGCCGCTCCACCAGCATCTTGAGAGGCTTTTTTAGCATCCAGCTACTACATCATCACCGCGCAACGTCAACAGCGACAACGTGCGGTGTCGTACACATGCTATAATACAAAAAATAAACTTGGGTCACTAAGCTGCAGCTGTCTATGTTACACCTTGAAGGGTCGCGGCACCCTTCAAAAGTATAACTAACAATAAAGCATGTATAGAGCTACATAGCACACGTAGCACGCAGGGAACTAACCAACGAAACCAGCTAGCGAGGAAAATGCACATGCACCGGTACCGCTGCTATCACCACCGCTGCCACCACCACCGCCACCGCCACAACCACAACCACAACCATCATAACCACCACCATCACAACCACCACCACTATCACCGCCACTATCACTGCCACTATCACTGCCACCACCACCACCACCACCAACAACAACAACAACACTACCGCCCATGCGATGTAATTCTCATAATACGTCTCATTAAACCTACGGGTAATTAGGCGCGTGTTAATGATTAGGGAGCGTTGTTGGAGAGGTGGTGGCCACACATCCCCGAATTGCCTTATGCACATCCCACGCACCTCCACCGCTTCAGATTTTATCTTGCCGTAGACCACGACGTCGTCCCGAGGTCGACCTCGGACGTCGGGGGAGGGGGGTTCTTCCCGCACGGCTACCATCAGCACCTGCCAACATCAACCGCCGCCACCACCACATACACACACATCTCCACAGCCACCAACAAGTTTCAGTGCCTCAACCACAATAAACAAATAGCTAGCGCGCTCGACCTACGACGTACAGCTGCCACTTAATCGTACATCAGCAGTAGCAACAGTGCATCGCTCGGCATTAACACACTGATAAAGAACGGCTATCCCGTGGTGATCATATAACCTCGAGATACCCGTTATTCATCACGCATGTTATATATATTCTATATTTATTTATTTTGTATAGCTTACCACGAACAGGACGTTGCACGGCTATCGGAAGCTCTTAGATATGTGTTGTGTGAAGCTTCGACTTAAGCGCTACGACTACTAATGCGACACAGCCCCTCACATACCAGAGGGGCATGCACGCTAGCTACTACTCACCAACTTCGCTCGTTCAGCAGTGGCGACGACTCTTCTCCTGCTGAAACCCACCATAAGCCATTGGCTTGCTTTGCCTCCATCTCCTGCTGCTGGGATATCATCGACGACTTACAACATCCATACATACAAACAGACTGACAGACTGACTGACAGACAGGTATAATACGTACATGCATACATACATACAGATAAATGGGGGTTATTCGGTGGGCGAAACACAGCTGATGTTACGTACACGTCGTCGATCAAATTTACGCACGGCAAACTGCGACAAAACCTTGAAGCTGATGGAGCAAGCCTATATCACGTATTACGGTACGGTGGAGTAGTACGGTAGTACGGTAGTAGTGATAGTAGTAGTAGCAGGCGTAAACATACAGCGACATGGTGATTGCTCCTCCCCTCATATAATACACACATACAGTTGCGCCCAGCTGCCGATAACTGCTCTCATACATGTATACGTCAGGTAGACGGAAGCATTATTATGTACACTGTATGTGCTGTCGCCTATACATGGATTGCAACAGCAGTAGCTAGCAAGTTCGGTCGACGGGCTTGCACGCAAGCAGCATATACACATGCGCGCGCCGACGACGACGCAGGTGCAGACACATACATGCATACATACGTACAAATTCACATTCAAAAAACGTAAAAACAGTCATGGCATGATTCATCATGAATATCAGTCGCCATTTACATCTAGATGAAATGCAACGTGCGCGTGGCGGCGAGTGCATAGACGGGCAAAAGCCGCAGCAGTACGCACAGTTACCAAAACATGAACACAGAGTTTCAAAAAATCCATGTCGTTGTAGATTGATATGTCGTTGCAGAATGTGTCACAAAGCCAAGCAACGAACCGCATATATGCCGCCGCCGCGTAGATCTCAGCAGCCGCCACCAGCTAGGCCGCATCGCAACACATCAGCACACTACGGCTGATTCGTGTTGCGCATGGACCAGCTAAACAAATGCACCTTACCTAATGAACGAAGGTGATCGAAGCCTTACTGCAACCCGCAACATAGATACGGCTGCCTTGCTTTCTTCCTACCCTTCTTGACTTCACCCAAGAAACCCCCCGCATCGTCACACTCACATACATACATACATACAAACATACATACATAAGGGTTTGGCACTACTGGTAAGGCACGACCATTGCCCCCGGGAGATCCCGGGATCGATACCCGTAAGGGTCAAAAATCCTTCCGATGGTGGAAGGCATCGCGCCTATAATTGATGGACGGTGATGAACTGGGATAAAGTTAGCCTGCGAGCCGACCAGGAACGGAGTTGGGCCGCTGTCGACCCGGCAGATTTCGTTGGATGCTAGTGTTGGGAACCTGAGCGATCCACTGAGAAGCTGACTAGGGTGACTGGATGAGGGTGCCCCGAAATACCGGGGAAGGCAGGGTTTCGCAGGGTAGCTGCCACGGGCGAAGATACACCCCCCTGTTTCACACATCATACATACATACATACAAACATACATGTGCTTGTGGTCTGCCACGACACACATAAACACGTCAATGCTCATGTGGCGGTGCTGATGCAACGATGTAATGCTCGTCCTCTACGGCGAGCATGATTTTCCACAAACCTTGTACGGCACCCGCCTGGCCGTGCATCGTCAGCAACTGTTGTCGGCTTATTGGGCTTTGGCTTGCTGGGCAGAACTGCTGGCCGCCGGGACGTACGTGAAATGAACACACCTGGATGGGTGTTAATGAAGGGATACTTACATTGATTAGCTGTTAACATGTTCGCGATATCAGCTGAGTATACATACCACCTGCTTGGGCTGCCGAGTGGTTGACTGCGAACAACACCAAGCAAGCCGCATCTGGTACAAACCCAAACTGTGTCCAAATTACAAACGACGTAGTTGGTTAGTTCGTTGTACTCCTTGATGAATGAAGGCAGTTGTAGCAGTTGTATCAGTTGTAGTTCATAACAGGAGGAGGAGGAGGAGGAGGAGGAAAGGCAGCTACTGCAACCCGCTCGTCTGTCCGCCCAAGATCCACGCAAATCCCATCCGGTCGCCCAATTACTTTTCCCATCCATCCATCGAAAAGCAAAGCTCGTCCATCCGTTCGTCATATGGTGATTGCTACAGCCTGCTTGCTACAGTGCGCTACAGTGCGCTCAATTAGTCCGTTGGGTCGTGTTGCTGCTGCTGCTGCTCCTCCTCTTCTGGAATATGTCGCTGCAGCAGCCCGCCGTGTTTCGCGAGCCAGGAAGGCCGTAGCAGCAGCTGCAGCAACTGGCTCTGCAGCAATTGTGACGGTGGAGGTGGCGGAGGTGGCGGAGGCGGCGGAGGTGGCTGCAATACGGGTTGTGTTTCGGTCTGTGACGACGGCGGGGCTGGGGCCGGCGGTGGCGGCGCTGCCTGCTGCTGCTGCTGCTGCTGCGGTTGCTGCTGCTGCGGTTGCGGTTGCTGCGGTTGCGGTTGCGGTTGCTGCAGCAGTAGCGGCGGTAGCGGCGGCTGGGATGGATGCCGCCGCAATGGCACAAATGATTGCCGTTCCCTTGATATCGCCTTTTCGTCACCTGTCAGATGACCCGTGGGTCGGTAGGCACTGCTGCCGGCACGGAAAGTCCCGGCGGCAACGGCTGTCAAACTACTGGCATACTCACACGGTGCAGCTCCCAGCAGATGCCCTTTACTGAGTAGTATACGTGGCCCCTTGGGCATCAGTACGACATGTTCCTTCTGATGATCCGGCAATTGCGGCTGCTGCTGGTGCTCCTTGTGCAGCAGATGATGCTGTGGGTGATTAATCTTGGCTGTCTGGTCAGGCAAAACTTGCAGCGACGATGGCGGCGGCGGCGGCGGTGGCGGCGGTGGTGGTCCTTGTGGCGGCGGCAGCAGCGGTGACGGCGACGACTGCAGCGGCGGGTCCCGTTGCCCCAATAAGGCCCCGTTTGTTGCCAAGGATCTCTGTATGACGTCGATCTCACTTCCCAGGAGGACCTCCACTCGGCTCAAATTCGACCTCACTCGCTGTATTTGAGGAGGGGAAAATGTGGGTTGGATGCGAGGAAAGAATATAAGCGACGTTTGACGGGGCTGGAGGCAGCGAGAATGTCGGAGGGAGGGTGAAACGCGGGGAAATGAAGTTTATTTTCGGCTCCATGTGCTATTTTTAAATCGCCAGTCACTTGACATGTTCTTTGGAGCGTGTGTGTGTGTGTGCGTGTGTGCGTGTTACGAAGGGAAAAAGGACAATGTACGACGATCTATTTTTGAGTAAGTCACGGCAACCTATGCCACAAACCTGCACGTGGGCGAGCTTCGCCATGAGCTCGTTCTTGAGATCCAGAAGTTCGTTTCCCCGTACAAACGGTACGACTGGTACGAGCAACATGCGTGGCCGAAACCCGGCATGCGGTGCAAAGCCATAGGCCCCTCCACTGCTGCCGCCGGTGTCGATACCACCGCTGCCGCCGCTGCCGCTCCTGCTCCCGCTAGCGCTGCCGCTGCCGCCAGCGCTGCCGCTGCTGCCGCCGGCAGCCTCTCCGTCGGGACCCCCCTGGCCATCCCCGCCCTCGCCGCCGCAATTGCTGCTGACGCGTGCGGCGGCGACCCGTACACCATCTATCAGGTTCTCCGTGGCATCGTTGCTGCGGCTGTAGCTGCGGTTGTGGTGGTTGGCAGCTGACCTTAAGAATTCCCAGTCCACTCCGGCACGGGCCCCCTCTACCTCCAAAGCTGTCATACGGGCAGCGGCAGCTGCAGCTAAAGGAGCAGGATCAGGAGCACCGGCGGCTTCAAGCTGCTCCGGCATCTCGATTGCTCCTCTGTCGCCGATGGCGGTGATGGTGGCGGTAGCGGCGGCGGCGGTGGCGGCGGCGGCATTCTGGGGACTGCGCGACCTTCCGCGGCATCGCACGAGTGCTGCCCGTGCGGCAGATGCATCGGCGATGCGATCGGGCTCGGAGCTGGCGCAGCGCTTGCCGAGTACGGATATAGACGCTCCGGTGGCCATCCGCTGTGGTGGAGGCCCACGTACAGCTGCCGTACCACCGGCCCCCGCCGCCGTACTGACAATGCACCGTTCCCAGGAGTAGCTATCTTTGGCATCACCACTGGCCCCATGGGGCGGCGGTCGTGGCGGCTGCAGGTGAAATTCTTTCGCGGTTCCAAAAAATGCTCCGAATCCAGGTTGTGATCCAGATCCAAACCCTTTCGAGGTAAAACCCGGCGGTTCATGCCATGCACGACCGGCGCAATGATGCATTGCCGTACTACCGTTCGCATGGCACCCCCACAGTCGCGGCCGCGGGGGTATCCGTGGATCGTACGGCAGCAGGTTGTACGACAGCAGAGGTGGTTTAGCAGCTCGATACACGACGGCGTGGGGGCCGGAGGTGGCGGCGGTTTGGCGCCTCCTGACGTGCGCGGTTGCTGGAGCTGTTATGTTAGTTGTGGTGTTGGCGTTGTTGTTGTGGGTAGTTGTGGTTGTGGTTGCGGTAGTTGTGGTTGCGGCTGCCCTTGGTAGCGGTAGCACGGTTGCCGCGGTTGCTGTTGTGGCTGGAAGCGGTAGATACCTGCTTTCGGTAGATTGCCGCCGACACGGGTATGTACCACGGAGCTGCAATGTAGCTGGTTCACAAGGAAGGTTTTCATGGCGGGGTGACGAAGATGATGATGGTGTGTCCATCGTCCTGCTGCTCAGCCTCCTTAACGGCATCTCCCCTCCGCGGGACCTCGTCAGCACAACATCCAGCAGCATTGGCACGGGGTTTTGCGGCTCCGGTCGAACTTGGGCCCAGACCCTGTGTTCCCCAAACGAAAGAGGGTTTTTTTTACATTGTGCAGAACGCATGGTACAGGTACGACATCAGTACGACGTGGGGCGGTATAAGATGGCGCAGAACAGCGCAGCTTCATAGGTAATATAATACCATTTTGCGGTGCGAAAGTGCTTTCCATGCATGTGGCACATACATACATAGGCAGGCGGCTGGCAGAGGTTAAGGCCTGACTTCTGCTCCCAGTTGACCCAGTCGACCCGGGTTCAAATCCGCCTGCCGGCTCCTCGGGTGTTTGAGGAGTGATGAAATGGGAGGTGGCCCCCCATCTTATGGACGGTGTAGGACGTGATAATATCAACTTGCGAGCTGACCAGGAACTAAGTTGATGCGCCGTTGATCCGCTAGATTTGGTTGGATGCTGGTGGTGAGTTGCCGAACCCAACGAATACATTCTGAAGTCGGATGGGGTGACGGATTAGGGTGCCCCTCTAGCAGGGGAGAGCAGGGACTGCCCCGGGAAAGGGGGCCGCTGGCGAAGTTAACCACCCTGTAACAACATACATATGCATGATTACAATCCGATATACATACACACATACATGCGTGCAAACAAATGTGTGCATGTTTACATGTACACCATGCCTAAACACATGCACACAGACATGCACGAATGCTTGTTTGTGCCGCGATGTCGAAGTTGTGACGTAAGCTGCTGCATTATCGCCAGTTGCTGGTTTGACTTCCTAAACAAGCAACGCTTTAGCGGCGGAGTGCCAAATTAACTTGGGTGCTGCTGTCATACCCCCACCACATTGCATCCAAGGATTGCCCGCGCCATCCGAGCAGCCCGTGCGACCACCCATAGCTGTTGGTGTGTTTGGGCATCCCTCCCGACCTTGGGGCTTGTGAGTGCCGCCTATCAGGGCTGTTGAGGAGTGAGGGGTGACGGATGTCGCCCGCCTGTCGCCCACCTGGCAGGACGGGCAGTGCCAGCCATACATGCACACCCACATACAGACATACATGCACACATACATACACATATACATACACACATACATGCATTTCCACCCATTGCCTCACCGGGTGTTTGGTGGAGCGGGAGGGATGTCTAGGTGGGCTGCAGCACCTCTTGCCGCAGCCCTAGCTCCGGAACCAGCAGCTCCCAACCCAGCTCCGGAACGAGATCGAGAACTAGCTCTAGGTTTAGCTCCTCCGGAACCAGTTTCTCCGCAGAGCCTGTTTGGAAATAACGGTGAGGAGCTGCTGGCGGGCTCGCGCCGTGATGGCGCAGCTGGCGAGGGCCAAGTGGCTGCAGTGGCAGCAGCAGCAGCAGCAGCAGCAACAGCAGCTGTTGCTGCTGCAGCTGCAGCTGAGTGGGCAGCGGCTGCAAAGTAATACTGGTCGCCGGGCGGCACGGATGGAGCCGCTGTCGCTGGAGCCGTGCTTGCCGTCGCCATGTTCCAAAACGAATAATACAATTGTCAACCCGTCCCTGATATAAAAAGCTCCGAGGGAATTTAGGGGGCCCCCCCAGGAAAGGAAGAATCAACAGTGTTCCTCCAGCTGAAAACTGCCGAGTTGGGGAATTTGAATTGGAGGGCTGCGCAGTCAGCGTTCCTATCCTAGCTCCCACCCAAAATGCGTAAATATCTGTTTTGAATTGGTCCTTTTGAAGTCATGTGTCTGTTTGAATTAGGATGTCCTCTGTGAGGAGGAAGGCGAGGGCCGCGGGGGAGAAGTGTAGGGGATGGAAGACAGGGTGGGTGAGGGTAGATGTGGATGACGGCTAGAGGGCAAGGCGTACAGGGCAAGGGGTGTTCATGCATGTCGCCGGCTGCTGAGTGCGTTGGGATATTAATAGGATTACGAGCGGAGCTTGGACGAGCAGAGGGCGCTGTCCTTCAAATCCCAAAAGGTCGCGCTAGAAGGTTGCTCAGCGCTAAATATTTCCTCAGGGAAGAGGTTGAGAAGAGCCACTGTGCTTCCATAAGGGACGAGCGAGCCGCAGGCGGATAGGAGGTACAACGGGGGAACAATGACCTATAATTTGCGACATGGCCGCCCGTAAGTTTAAAAACATTTCGAGTATTTATTGTTTCAGTCCTGTTATGGTCGACAGAGCGCAAGAATGCGTGTTGAAGGCGCGCAGCGATGCGGTTAAACGTAGAAAACGTACCCAACCTCAAAACGCAACAGCAGCGGCGCAGTCGTAACATTTTCATGAAAATTTACCTTTAAGTTTAGTCTTCTTTGTATTAGCTTGGAAGATCTGCTGTTGGTCTGAAAAGTTGACGGCTCTTGGAAGGCTTACTGCTAAGGACTTGCTCGCCAACAGGAGGCATAGATGTATTAGCTGGCTGTAGGCGAGGCTGTTCCTAGGACCGCGGCTTCTGAGATTTGAAAAAAATGCGAACAACACTCATCAGCGGGACACGTCGCTAGCCTACGGAAAATGACCAACGAGGACCTGTCCCCTGGCGTGCTTTCAGGCAGTCAAGTAATAGCATCGAAGGCCGCAGCAATCTAGCTGACGCGCGAGTGATGATAAAGGCGTGATGGTTTTAGTTAGAATGTGGTAGATGCCTTAGCGGTGCGTACCGTAACGAACCTCTTCCCTGACGGTGCGTGCCTACCTGGCGAGTCGGTTTCACGCCCGACGTGGACGAGCGGGGACGAAACCGTTGCGGACGTTTTTGCTAGATTTTAAAGGAAGCTTCGGTCATAACTGAAAATATTGGTGTTGAGTCCTTTACACAAAGCCTGTGAAATTTCCACAACGATCACGTACGCGTCGCATACATCGAAAACGGCTGGCCGCAAACTCGATAAACTTGACTGCTCGGCAGGTGAAGGAAAAGCCGGAAAGAAAGCACCTCACAGTGCTCCCAACAGATGTGGGAACGAACTATTTTATGGAAAACCTCCAACTTTCCACACAAATGCCACGTGTACATGCCAGACCTGGCCCAAGGTGGCTGCCGGCAGCTCCGATTTACGGTTGCACCTCATTACGCGCAACGTCCTCGGGCACAATGGCCGGAATGGAAAAAACATCAGCCCGGGTGAAATATTTGATGAAACTTTGACTAAAATAATGGGCGCGCAGTATTGTTAACGTTGCTTCAAAGCCCGTTATTAACGAATAGGGGTCCGTGGGGCCCCTTTCGAATTAATTTGGCGTAATTCATATGTATACTAAAACCTAAAGTTTTTAAATAAACTCTTTCATTATGTGTAAGCTTTTGCAATAAGAACACTTTTGCGGCTGAGAGATTTGCGTAATTCAACACGGTATAAATTAGGACCATTTATGTACTAGTCAGGATTTTAAATGTCACTGGTTATCAGAACCAATGAAACGTATACCTTTTCATTTCTAGACAAAAAGCTGGCCGCTTTGCGTAATGTTCGGGAATGGTCGTGGCGTACATTTCGGAAGTGCGGCCAAATGGTGCGGCAAATCGCTTGCGAACGCAGTGTCAATCTCCTAATAACGAATTGGGCTACATGTGGAGCCCAATTAGATACAAATTGTAAACAAAGGTGCTGGAACCGAACTAAGTCCCCCCGCGCCGAGAAGCGTTGAGACGCAGCCAGCTGGCGGCCGCGGAGGCCAGGAGGAGATTGCTGCACAAAGTATACGGAAAGCGCCGGGGTCGGAACAGATCGCGGCCATTCCCGATCATAGGCTCAGTTAATGAAAGCAGCGAACTCACGCGACTGCTTGCATTAACTGAGCCTGCGGGGACCTGAACCACTGTAGAAAGAATAACTGAGGCGTTGTTTCCGTTTCCTATTAGTGATATACTCATTCGAACGCCCTTGAAATCGGCCTCGAGCACGCCTTTCTAGTTGCCTACCTTCGCAGTCGTTACGCGCCAGCCATGTTGGAAAAGGCAACGCGGACCGATTACGAATACAGGCGCCGTGCGCAGCCTTGAGCCAGGTACCAAGCTCCCAGATAAACAAAAAACATTTAGCTATTGCTACTCAAGGTCTTCCATTTGGGCATTGTTTGCAGGCGACTTCGCCTTCGCGCGCTGCATATGGCGGTGGGCGTAAGTGGGGCGTGTGAAGCGATGGCGGCGGCATAATAGGTCGCGCACCTTCGGCGCTTCAGAATGCGCTAGGTCCGCACCACTTTCACCACTTTCACCACTTTCCGAGGAAAATTCCCTACTCAATCCATTTCTCCATCCCCAATATTTCAGTGACCTAAGGGCTGAGGGATGGAAATTATTTTTCCTTCGCAACAGGAGATGGGAAGTGTTTGGCGCTCGAAACCGGTGGGCCGGCCGGCCACGAGCGACCTCGATAGATCAAATGCATTTCCACTTTTGAACGAAAATTTCCCACCACGCAAACATGCATATTATAACGTATAACTTAATATTCTACGTTAAAGTTGACCGTGCTTAAGGAAAGGGATCTTGCGCAATCATCACTCCATCCAACTCTGTAGGAGAGCCGAGGATAGAGCGAAATTCGCAAACGAAACCGACTTTAACCGACGGGGGAAACTCCTACTCATCATGCTTCTTAACCCCAGGGACTCATGGACTAAGGGAATGGGATGAACGAAGACGTTTGCTCAAAGGGCGCGCAGTCGTAAATTTCGGCCTCGATTATGGCGAAGCTAAAAAGTATCACTTTCGCCGATTTGCCTACCAGCCCGCTGATCCACCTGCTAAGAGAACCCTGTAACTCAGTCTTCATCCTTAGGGCAGCCTTTTGGACTCAGCACCGGCCGCGAAGTACCTTAAAAGGGACTGAGCCCCCCGCCCTGGAATTGGTACCCGCGCCTGAGCGCGTCTCTGTCCCGCGCATTTCGGCAAAATTGCACTGCAAAATCACATCAGGTCAAATAGCAAATAAAACTGTACCATTAGTCTTTCCATTACTGGGAGATATCTTTCTGCAGGCTGTAAACGATGCCGTCAACGATTGTCAATGATTTGTTTAGGCACGCCGGTAATGCTTGGCCTGTTCGGACGCCTATCGCTTTGAATTTGCACGTGAAATGTATAGTGAAATTTTAGTTACCAACGGTGACTGCGGCGCGGTCAAAGTCGCTTAATAATGAAAACCGATGTCACTTCAAATTTCGTGTCCTGACATTCTTGCATCCCGCTTGCCCTTTACTGCAAATAAATTAAAATATATTGTTATAGTAGCTTTGTTGCAATACAGCTGCTAAACTGGAGTATCGTGTTTGCGGCGGGTGCAGTCTGCCGAGTCGATGGCCCGACGGCCCGACGGCCGAGGCCACCTACCCCAACCGTCTATCCAGGAACACCCACACACAGCACGCATGCTGGTTCAAAACAGTTCCACCGACAAGTTGTGCGTTGCCCTGTTTGTGCGCTCGCGCTGCTGCATGCACATGCGGGTCTGCACCCGTCCATTTAAAAACACACACCGTGATACCCTGCGTCCTTCACACAATGCTGCGAACTATAATTTAGGATATTGCCTTAGTTCTCACAGGTTCTTTTTTTGCCTCGTCTCGCACCTCTTGCCTCTTGCACGGTTATCAGCTTCCTCTTGCTATACAGGGTGCATCAAAATCATGCCGGCCTTTACAAATGGCCGTGGAAAAAAGAAAATCTTTTGCAATTACGATGTACGCGCGTCAGCCCGTGGCTTTGGAGATTGAAGTCGGGTTGCTCCATACAGGACGTGTAACGTGCAAGAGCAGTTACATATCTCTGGATGATTCTCTTCAAGGGGATTCACGTAGCTATTCTCAAGACCTTCCTTTTTGCGACGTCGTACATTAGTGCGGGTCGTACACTCGATGGCTACATCTTCGCTGGTGTATCGCATCCGGTGTCTTTTGACACCACCTTGACTGGTTGTGATAAGGATAAACGTAACAGGACGTGACCGACTGTCGATACGTATGTCTTTTCTGCTTTTGGAGACAATCTATAGTAGCGCTAAGGGAAATGCTGGCAGTGGACTGGGGGCGGCTGATGAGAGATCGTCGGATCGCCATCGAGATAGCAAAATCTTTGTAACTGACTTCCGACGTGCAGACCGTTTATTAACGTGGGCGTTGCGCACGTTATCGTACGGCACAGATCAAAATGCCAGTGATACACCTACTGTTGCTGCTTGCTGCCGCTGCTACTGCTGTTGCCGTGGTCGGTCGTTATCCGTACATGCTTTTCCTTGGTTGCCGACGCCAGGCAGCTGCTGCTACTATTGCTGTTTGCTCTTAATTGTTTTCACGTTTTGGGCTGATGAAGGGATGTACAACACATTTATAGGGAAATCGGTATGTTGCACATGTGTACGGCGCGGTTAGTGTTCTTAAGTTCCCACCTCGACGGTGAGTGCCGCGGCCTGGTACGTACAGGGCTCATGTGTGGCTTAACATTGAGCTGCGCGAGGAGATCTTTCGGTTTGAACGATAGATTCACGAGGACATGTACGACATAGAGGCCTATACGACACGCCACGAAATCCGTGCGAGTCTTCAGCCGTTGGGGGTTGGAAAAAATGCTGCTAGAGTAATTTATCAATCCAGACTACCTCTGATCCTTAGGCAGCCCTTAGGCCCTTAGGCCCTTAGCTAATTCGGTCCTTAAATCCTTAGAACCTTTAGAGATGTATCTGCGCCAGAGGTACTCGAAGGCTGTGAGGATCTGTTGGAGCCCGTCTGGAGTGGGACGCAGTTGTCGGAAGGAATGCGGTAACTCCGGAGGGCTTGGATGTTTGCAATTAACCCATAACTACGATAACTACGATAAACGCAGGTGTCGCGTTTCGTCGAGGTACTCCCAAGTATCTCACATTCCGTTCAAGTTTGAGATGTGCAACTGCGTCACACTCTCGTGCACGGCTGCGGTATCATATACGTTCCGCATACCGCAGCGCACCCGACTGGTAAGTAAGCGTACACGGCCCGCGTTACAGACAGACAGCGCGACAGACTTTGCTTGGGTGGTGGAACTCCATGCTGCTGGCCAGCAGTATGGTCCAAATGCTGTGTTTGGTTGTATCTATATGGCTATGATACTCATAGCCTGTGCTTGCATGCACGTCACCTTTGGTTTGGTTCCGCTGCAAACAACAAACCCCGTTACCGTGTCCTTGAGCATGGGAGGCAGCGGCGGGAGGGTGTTAGTTCTCTCACTATCGTAACGGCAGGACGGTAGGACACAAGGTCGGGGAGAGCTATTTTTTGGGCTGCCCCGGTCGCACAACTCCTGTGCTTCCCTAATTCGACACCCCGGACAGGCCAAGTCGACACGCGGACAGGCCAAGACCCGCCAGCGCAATTCCGGGGCTCCACGGCGCAATTCGAATACCTCCGGCGGCCTTCTAAAAAAATCCAAGTCCCCGATGGACCAATTTTTTGGTCAAGAATAAAAGTCAGGCCAATTCTGCGACAGAGCTTTTCCCCAATTCCAGCCCGGATCCTACCCTCCTCAACAACACACGGGAGGTTGTGCTTGGCATGGTCATTGTTAGACTGTGACAGCAGAAAATACCCTTTCAATTGACATATCTTCATTTATTCAGGCCTTATGAAGCGACACTGGGAGGTGCTAGCTGGTCGCGGAGCCTGTTCTGCCGTTTGTCGTTGGGTGTTTTGTTCGACACCAGAGCTGGTCGACGCAAGGCACGAGCGCGCGACACAGACAATCTCAACGGACCTTCGTCGCAGCCCGTCTATATCCTGCCTGGGCGCCAAGGCACGAGGATTGGATGAATGCCAGGGTTGCAGACTCCGTTATGCTCCCGTTAGCTGGTCTGTCGTACATGATTGCAAAGTATTGTGAAGTTTGTTGCGATGAAGTATCGCAAGACTCCTAAATCAAACCTTGGAGCATGTAAGCTTGAACGTGCTCGACTTTACGTTAACTTTTACGAAATGCCTCCGCCATCTTGGTGTAAGCGATAGTATCTTTGGCTACGTAGGTGAAATAAACTAATTGCAGCTTTACGAAATTTGACTAAATCCAATTTTCCTGAAACGAAGGAACTTGACTTCGGAAGTGATCGTGAATCTCGTCTCCCGTAGCTTGACCCTTACCTTAGTAACGAACACGGATATAACAAGCTCATAAACACTTTTTGTTTTTTCTATTGTGGTCGGAGGCGCACCGAGGCTGCCGAAGGATGCAGCATCCCCTTTGGTCGCTGTCCGCCCTGTTACTATGCTGCCTCCCGTTTGGAGCCGTATCACAACTGAGCACTCCAGTAGCTCATAGCAGTCAGGTACGAGCCAAGTTACGGCGTGGTTGGCAGTCAGTTGTATTCGGCGAGGCAACTACGGACTTCACGGGGAAACCTGTAGTGGCTTGGGATCCTTGGGCCCCAGTTTAATCCGCGCTCCTGTCGGCTGCCTGGGCCGGGCTACACGACAGGCCCTGCAATGTCGAACCAACGGACTGGTGTATGGGGCCTCCCTGCCTGCCTTTCTGCTACCCTTTCTCCACCCTCATGCCCATAACACGGTCACGGTCACTTGGTCGCCAGCACCGAATCCCCCCTTTATGTGCTCCATGAGACGTTGCATCCTATGCAATGGTTCATCCCCTGCCATGCTTCCTTCGTCCTCCTTCCTCCGCCCATACTTTTCACTTCCCAACCTCCCCGACCACCCACCCACAGACCTCGCTGACTGTGCCCCGGTCTGGTGTTCGCATACGCTTTTTTTACTTAGGGTTTTACTTAGGCCCCCAACTCGCCATACTTAGGCCCCCAACTCGCCATACTTAGGCCCCCAACTCGCCATACTTAGGCCCCCAACTCGCCATACTTAGGCCCCCAACTCGCCATGGTCCCCGCCCCCTAGCCGCCGAGAGATGCCGACCCAGACTCCCAAACCCGCACAAACCCACTTGCTTAATTTTTTGCGCCCCTTGGCCCCCCACCCCCATGCCCCTTTTTCTCCATGTTCACCGCTCTCTTGTGGCTTTGATCCGCTTATGTGCCTCTCCTTGCAGGCTGGCGAGCAGTTCAAGTTGTTGTGTTAATGTATGTAAATATGTAAATCCCTTTCCTTTGCACGCGCACACACACAGCCGCTTCCCGCCGCCGTCAGTACAACGCGGTCGTGGCTGTCATAAAAGTGTGACCGTCCTTGTCTTTCCCCTGACCCACCTTTTTCGGCGTTTACTTTCCTTGACCCCCTCCTCGTGCATGTCCCCCTCCTCCTCCCGCCTGCCTCTTCCCCTTCTCCTCCTGCCCCCCCGTCAGCCGGCTGTGGATGCAGCCAACAAGTACCGCAGCCGGAAGGCGGACATGGACAAGGAGGGGGACATGTGGGTGCCGGCGGGCAGGGATCGAGGGGGATAGCCGGAAGGGGGGTGGAATGAAGGGGGGTGGAAAGGAATGAAACGCCGCCGTCCAAAGTTTGAACCTACCGCAGTCCAAAGCGATAAAGTTAATGACCCGTGGTTTCGGAAATAGAACGCTACAGGTATTTTTGGCGTAGTCGTTGTCAGGTCTCTTGATATTGTCCTGGTGGGGGTGAGGGCGGGGGGAAATTTAGGCAGAGGAGGGGGGGAGGACGAACCAGGAACGAATGAAGCTGCTGCCAGGGTAAGAGTGTACCAGACGTAGAACTGACCAAAAGGCGTTCTTGAAGGTGGGGGGTGGTGAGGGCGGGGGCCCCAGCAGCATAGGGACGGGGCCGAAAGGCCATCATCAAGGATTGAATCGGAAGCGTGCTGGTCCTGATAACAAACCTGCGTTGTGGAACGCAAAGCCACACAACGCGCCGTGCTGTGCCGTGCTGTGCCGTGCTGTGGCTTCTACTGCTTCGCTGCACCTTCGTCGACGTGCACGCCGAAACAACCACGGAGTTTCCTGGCATGTGCATGTGTGTATGTATGTATGTACGTATATATAAATGTATGCATGTTTGCTTGTATGTTTTCGTCCTCGTTTCGTGTATTAGAAGGGGACATCGCCTCTATAAGCATCACAACCCATTCTGACTCCTGTGTGTATTGTCTTCACCTGCCGCTCCTTCCTGACATGCGTCTCCTCCTCCCTCCTCCTCCTCCAACCCCCTCTCCTCCTTCGCCCTCCCTCCTCCCATGGAAACAACAATACCACCCTGTAACAACAACAACAACAACAACCATAGCCAGCACGAAGGCCCCGTTCCGGGCGCCAGCCGCTGTGGCCGCCACCGCCTGGACCTGACCTGGATGAGTGAGGCCACCAGCTCGGTGTACGCAACACCCCTCATCACGGACTTGCACGGCGACGGCAGGTGAGTGGGCGGCTGGCTGGCTGGCTGGGTGTGGGGCTGGCTGGGGGTGGGTGGGCCTGCCGTGAGGGTGGAGTTTGTATGGGTGTGGGGCTGGAAGTGGGTAAGGATGGGTGAGGGTGGGTTGGGGGCACTGACGGAGGTTGACCAGGACGGCAGGGGGTCACCGGATTCCCCAGATGTAGCCGGACATAGCCTGATTTGGACCTGGCATGTCCTGGTAGCCTTATTTTTAACGTCCTGATCTATAGCCTAATTTGGATTTGGATCTAATGCCTCCTATCTCCATGGATCCTCTTGGCCTCTGTTTGTGTCCGTATGTATGGACGAAAATGCACGTACATATGTATGTATATACGTATGTATATATATACGTATGTATGTATATATTTTTTATGTATGTATGTATGTATGTGTGTGTGTCTGCCCTGCTGTGGACTGTTGGGCGCAGGCGGGACATCGTTGTGCCCTCATTCGTACACTACTTGGAGGTGAGAGCCCACCGTTGGGGGTTTAGGGGTCCAGGGAGGGAGAAGACAACCACCACCACCACCTGCACCACAACCACCACAACCACCACAACCACAACCACCATCTGCACCTGCACCTCCGCTGCCGCCGCGGTGTGAAACACCCACACAACACTCGCTCCGCCACGAAACGAACACCTCTCTTGCGGCTATAGCCGAACTCTCCTATATATTCCTTCCCATGCCGGTGACTCGGCGCGGGGCCTCAACCAGCGGCCCTGACCGGGTATTGCAGTGCGGCCACCACCACCACCACCACCACCACCACCACCACGAGAGCAAAACCATCAGTGAGGCGGCGGCTCGGGTCCTCCGTCAATACATCTATACATGTGTAAGGCACATCACACGGCACAGCTTATTTTACCGCGGGGTTAGCCACGCGCGCAGATGCAGAATGTTTAAACACACAGACACACTCCCACCATGCATGCATGTATGTATGCATGTATGTATGTATGTATGTGCGTCCAGGTGCTGGAGGGTCCAAATGGAGGTCAGGCGGTGGGTTGGCCCGCCTTCCATGCGTCCTCCGTGCACGCCTCACCGCTGCTGTACGACATTGACTTTGATGGTGTACGGGATATCATGCTGGCAACGTACGACGGTCAGATCATGTTTTTCAAGGACACGGTGCGAGGGGCCTGGCTGACCTGGGAGTTGCCTTCGAGCGCATCAGGGAATATGTTATCTTTCAAACATTAAGCTAGATGCCGGACATTATTATGTATTATTTATATTTATATTTATAACTTCAATTTATCTTTATGTGGATATGTTTGATGGTTGATAAAACAGGTGGTTGGGTGGTCTGTTTGCATGGGGAGCTGGGAGGGTGTATGGGTTCATGCTCAGGGTTGGATATGTCGGCAATCACGGCTACCTGACCGTCCGGCCACCCCACGGAGCCGCATCGCTAGATTTGACTGGTAACTAACCTTCATTCCGTTGTCGCCTGTTGCTGCCGTTGCTGCTGCTGTGGTTGTGTTTACTGCTACTGCTTTGGCTGCTGCTGCTGATGTTGATGATGATACTACTGATGCTGATGATGGTGATCCTGTCTGCGGGCACCGCCTAGTATGCTGATATGACTGCAGATATGGCCGTTGTTGGTTGTCTGTCTGTTTATCTGTCTGTCTGTCTGTCTGTCTGTCACTGCAGGGAGAGAAGATGCTCGAGGGACTGCAGATTAGCCGACTACGTGTGCGCAAGGTGGGGGTTGGGGCTGGGGGTGAGGACATCAAACAAACAAATAAAGAAACAGACAAACAAACAAACATAACGTACATATGTGGTCAGGTGGTCCCGCTTGGCCGCACATATTAGCACCTAACGTTGCTGTGTGTGTGTGTACGTTCTTTAGTGATTTGAGATGTGAGGAGGGAAATGCCGATGGTGGTACACGAATACCTTTGTATGTATTTACGTATGTATGTATTATGTATGTATTATGTATGTATTATGTATGTATTATGTATGTATTATGTATGTATTATGTATGTATTATGTATGTATTATGTATGTATGTATGTGTCACATGTCACTTCTGTCGCTGCTGGCGCTATTGCTGCTGCTGCTGCTGCTGCTGCTCGCGTGCACGCCCATTCAAGGTGTAAGGCGGCTCTACTCGAGCGATTCGGAATGCCTCCTCACACACATGCACAAACATATGGACATACACATACATACATACATACATACATACATACATACATACATACATACATACATACATACATACATACATACATACATACACACCGAAGGACAGTTTGGGGTGCGGCCCGACTCGAACCAATGCGGTGTGGCCACACTCCCTATTACCCCAGGACTGGTATGTGGGTCTGGACCCCAAGGACCCGTTCGACCACTCCCATCCGGACGTGAGCGACGGTGATGGCAACGGCCAGGTACACGTGTGTGTGCGTGTGTGTGTGTGTGTTGAGTTAATCTGAGCCGCGATACGGGAACAGGCCGAAGGGAACGTGCGCGTGCGCGTGTGCGTGTGTTTTGGAGCTTTCATAAAGAGGCGTCGCCAGCGTGTATGTAGCTGGCCGAATCTTCGGGCGATGCGGTTGCTGACGCGCCTTGATGTTGCTTCTGTCCGCGTCCTTGTTTGTTGTTCCTGTCGTACTGTCGTACTAAATCGTCGTAGCGACTGCTGGACCAGTGCTAGCGCGCCTGGTTTGCCACGTTTTCCGTGTTTTGCCCATTACCCCCCGTGTACCCCCGCGTTGTTGGACTCCAACATTACCACCACCCCCAGGGCCCCCCAACCCACCACCACATACACTCTTACGCGCTTGACTTGCTGGTCTAAGTCAGAGACCGTGCGGCCTTACACAGCCACCATCCCCTTCCCCCCCGCAATTGCCATAACGACCATCCCTGTGCTTGTGTACACAGTTGCGAAACAGCAGCAGCGGCGGTGGAGGAAGAGGAGGGGAAGGAGGGGGCCCCGGTGGCAAGACGCAGCAGCAGCAGCAGCAGCAGGGGGTAGGTAGAGGGGACTCCACCCCCTCCGGCATCAGCGGTGGTGAATCTCAACGGACTGCAAGCATGGAGGATCGTGTGAAGAGGTTTGTGCGCCAGATTACCGAGTACAGGTAGGAGGCGTAGGAGAGGAGCGAGGGAAGGAAGGAAGGACCCGTGGGTCGGTTGTTGAACTGGGTGATGGGTGGGTGGGCAGTGGGCTACGTGCGTTTCCTCCCCATACCCAGCTGGAGTATCCGTCTATCTACCTCCGGCATCTGCTTCAATCGTCAGTGGTTCGTCTCCCCCCCCTCCGCAGCACCCCATGAGTTTCTATAACCCCAGCCCCAGCCTCTGATCTGCAACCCCCTCTAAACCCCCTTCCTAATAGGCCCATAGGTCCTTCATAAGGCCCACGTCCCTCTGTCCTTCATAACCATATTCCGACATCCGGCTGGGCCCTGCCCTGCCCGGAACCACACCACACCACACCACACCCAACAACACGACACGGCACAACACAGTAAAACACAACGCGACATGACATTACACAACACAACACGACGAGACTTGACGTGAGGTAACGCGAAGCTAAAACGTTAGGCGACATTGCAGAACCCACCCCGCAACCGGGCGAGGCCGCATCTTTCCGCTACTACCTACGGACCGGACCATACCCGGCACAACAACACGTCGCAAAACCTCTCCTCCCCCCTCTTCTCTTGCCCTGGCAGCAGCTTCAATCGTGTGTGGTTCGTCTTTCCCCCTCTTCACCCGCCCCAGGGCAAAGTACGGCGACCTAGCGGCTGACAAGCTGATGGAGGAGGCCCGGGCCACCAACGTCATATTTTACGACTTGGTTGTGGCGGCGCTGAAGCAGCAGCTTTTGCAGCAGGAGCTGGGGGAAGGCGGGAATGGCACCAGCAGCGGCAGTAGCGGCAGCAGTGGTGGAGGCGGAGCCAGCCCCTCGCCGTCGCTGTCGCCGCCGCCGCCGCCGCCGGTACAGCAGCAGGCGACGATTACTGCTAGGTGAGTGGCGGTGAGGCGTCTGGCTGCAGGAGCGACGCCGTTGAGGGTGTGGGTGTGCGTGTGTGTGTGTGTGTGTGTGTGTGTGTCGGGCCTACCTGTGACGCGCTGGGAATTCTGGTAAAACCCTTCCCAGCTTTTGCCCCCTGAATACACCCCCCCACACAGACACATACCCTTGACGTGGTGTGTGTGTGTGTGTGTGTGCCTTAAACACCCTTTTCCGCCTCCCCTCTTTTCTCCCACCCCACTCTTTCCTTGGCTTTGCATATATCAAATCACCGCAACCCCAACCCCTTCCCGACTCCCCACTCCCATCGTTTCGGGAAACTCTGAATGGTACCCATGACAGCCCTGCCAGTCGGCGCCGGCTAATGCAGCTCGCGGACGGGGGCGATGCCGTCAGTGGCGCCGCGACCGTTGAGATGGGCGGCGCCGGCGAGGCCGTATCTCAGGAGGCCGCTGATTCCTTCCAAATCTTCGAAGACAACCCTTACGCAGACGTCCTTGGCGATAATGACATCGTCGACTTTGACCAGCAGCAACAGCTGCAACAAGTGCAGGACGATGACAGTGGTGTTGGTGATGGCGGTGATGATGGAGCGGACTCGGGTGGTGAGTTTGACGGCGGGGAGTTTTCCGACGGCGGGTTTGATGCGGGTCGCGGTCAGGCGGATGATGCGGAGGCGACGATGGACCTGGGGGCCGCCGCTGGCGGCGGCGGTCTGGAGTCCTTCCTGGGGAGGCTGGAGTACGACGAGTTTGGGGATTTGGAGAGTACGGCAGAGCTGCGGGAGAGCGATGCGGCGCTGCATGAGCACGGAGGTGTGTGTGTGTGGGGGGGATGGTATGGTTGTAGGGATGGTATGGGGGCCAAGGGGTCGGGATGGGTAGGGAAGTAGGGGATATCGTTGGTGCTCATGATGTGAACGCAGAGGAAGAACGTTGATGATAAAAACGCATAAGAAGGGCGGGTATCTTATCGTCATTAAAACCTTAATTCCCCCTTTCTTAATTCCCCCTACTCTCTGGCCCTGGCAGCAGCTTCAATCGTGTGTGGTTCGTCTTTCCCCCTTTTCCCCCCTTTTCCTCCGCCAGATGACCCCCGGGCTGCCAACCCTGACGAGCTCCAAGTGGACAGCTACCGGCACCTGTACCTGGGGGACTACCACGGGGGGTCCAGGGCGCATGGGGGCTGGGGGGAGGAGGACTTCGTGCAGGTGGGCAAGCACCTCTGTGGGGATTATATCTGTATGTGTGTATGTGTGATTAAATGTTATGAGTTATGTAGGCCGGCGTTATCCGAGTGTAAAGATCACGGAAGGCGTCTGTGTGTGGGGGGGAGTTGAAGATCTGTGGGTTGAAGGTGTGTGTAAACTCCCACCTCACCGCAGTTATGCCCCGCGCTTATGTCATTCTTTCTTTTTCACCTTTTTCTCTCCTTTTTCTTCCCACCTTTTTCCTTACTCCCGCCCGCCCTCCAACCCCTCAACCCCCCTCAGTCCGGGCACCCAGACGCCGCCGGCGGGTACGTGTATGTGGACCCGCACGTCATGACCACGCCCGCCATAGCCGACATTGACGGGGACGGACACGACGAGCTCGTACTCGCCGTGTCGTACTTTTACGACAGGTACGGCGGGTTGATGTGCCAGGCTGGGTGGTAATGGCTTATGTGGGGTGAGGAGGCGGGGTGTCAGCGGGGGGGGGGTTTCGCTGCGCCTGCAGCCTGTTCCCTCCTTTCCAATCCACACCATCATCCTGAAATACCATCACCCACCTCTCCATCACCATCACCGGGCCTTCCCCCCAGTGACCATTCCGCGTCTGTGCCGTCTGTGCCTGTTTGTAAAAGTCATGGCATGCCTGCGCGCCTTCTGATGTCTGCCAGAGACAGAGAGAGAGACAAAGAAATCAACATATATATATATTGATCTCTGTCTATCTGTCTGTCTGTCTACTTGCCTGTCTGTCTGTCTGTCTGTCTGTCTGTCTACCAGTTGATAAAACCCTGCAGTTGACGGCTTCCGCTTCCGGCGCTCCTCGGCCCATGTGCTGTACCCCCCCTCGAGTGTTGTCCCCCTCTCCCCACCCCACCAGCTATCCCCCCTGCCTACCGGCCTCTCCCCCACTAAAACCCCTCTCCCGCCTCCCTTCCCCTCCCTTTCCCTTCCCTCGTTCCCTCCCCCTCATCCCCACTCGTTCGTGGTTCGTCTTCCCTCCCCCCTCCCCCCCTTCCCTCACCCCACCACGCGCCACACCGCCTCTAAGGGAGTACTACGACGACCCAGATCACGCCAAGGACCTCAAGGTACGGCATCACCTGCTGGCTGCCCTGGTCTCCGTACACCAACCAATAAATCTTGGCTTTTTGGCTTCTTTGCTGTATGGACACATATATGTGTATGCAGCTATGTATGTATATGCAAGCTAGTTATGGATTTAAATGCTAAGTCGGTGTATATGGTAAAGAGCCACTTCACCACTTGGCGAATTGAGCCCCACTTTCCTACGGTTTGTTCCTCTCCCTTGCAATTTCATTGTCAATATTATTTGCAAGGAAGCCATCCGTAACCAGGGGGCGGGGAGGGAGGGGGGATAGCTGCTGCTGCTGCTACTGCTGCTGTGTGTGTGTGTGTGTGTGTTGTTGGGGGTTCCGAGCGTATTGTTCCGGGCGTGTAAACTTAAATCCCCCCCCCCGGACCCAATCCCACATCCCCCTCGGGCATCGGCAGTTAGTCAACCCTTTGTTTTCCTTGCAGATGTGGTTTCACTCTTTCTTCTATCCGGCACACATCTATCAACGCCGGTCCCGTTAGCTTATCTCACTACTTTGTGTTATTGGGAGGAGGGGAGGAGATGGGGCCGGAGGGGGGTTGGGGAAAGCGCCTCCCGCTTTTCATCGTCATACACACATGCACGTACACACACGCAGCGTTCTCGTACTCCTCGTACATTCGTACTTTTATCCGTATGTTTGTATGCCTGCAGGGTATTGACTTGTCCAAGTATGTGGCCAGTGAGTGGGGTTGCAGTGGGTGGGTGGGTGGGGGGGGGTTTCGGGGGGTTGGGTTTACGAGAGGCGGCACGGCGGAGGGAGGGCAAGAGGAGGCGGAAAGGAAACGGGGAGTCAAGGGAGGGAGATGCGAGGAGGGGGCACCAACACCCCGGCTCCAACATAGCACCGAAACCGAAGCCCTAAAATCCAATCCAATGTCGGCAGTTGACTCACTCATATGATCTCTTTTCCCCCAGGACCAAAACCCCCAAACCCCTAAACCCCCCAAAACCCCACGTGCAGGTGGTGTGGTGGTGTTGGATTTGCGTACTCGCTCTGAGAAGTGGGTCCAGCATCTGGACCTGTCGACGGACACGGCCACGTACAAGGTGCGTATATGCGTGTGTGTGTGTCTGGTTACTAGTATCTGCGCGTGTAGTGTGTATTTTTGGGGGGGGCCCGCTGCGGGTGGTGGGTGCGGGTCCCGTTGCTCCGCTGTTGCTTAGGACGCACATCGCGAGAACACGCGTGTGTTTCGGGGTGAGGGGGGAAATTGGGGTGGTGGGGGGGAGTTGGGGTGGGGGGGGGGAAATTGGGGTGGGGGGGGGAATTGGGGTGGGGGGGGGGAATTGGGGTGGGGGGGGGGAAATTGGGGTGGGGGGGGGAATTCCTCGTCCCACGGTGTTCCACGTTACCTCACCTGCCCTCACCTGCCCTCACCTGCCCTCACCCCTCTTTACTACCCCCCCTCACCCCCAGGCCTACGCCTACTCCTCCCCCACCTTGGTGGACATCAACGGGGATGGCAAGCTGGAGGTGGTGGTGGGGACGTCTATGGGCTTCCTCTACGTGCTGGATCACAAGTAAGGAGGAGAGGGGGGAATGAGGGGGGGGTTACTGGGGTGGGGGGTGGGGTGGCGGGGAATGGAGAGGGAAGCGGTGAAGTCGGGTGGGGCTGGTGCTGGCGGGGGATGGGGAGGTTTGGACGTGTGCAGCGTCATCCGGTCCTGGCCTCTCTGAGCCCCCATTGAGGACATTTGAATCTACTTTCCCCCCCTTTCCCCCCCTTTCCCCCCCTTTTCCCCCCTTTCCCCCCAAAACACACACACACACACACATGCACATACGCACACAAGAAGAGACACACGCCCATGGCTTCTTGCAGGTATATGATGTGGCCCAACGGTCCCTCCGCCACCTTTGTTTCCTAGGCCAACTCATTTTCATTTCCCCCCTCAACGGGTACCCTCTCGCGCTCTCTCCATCACACACACACACACACACACACCTCCCCCTTCCCGTACACACACACGCTCCTGCTGCAGGGGCGACCCCGTGCCTGGGTGGCCCATTCAGATGGGGGAGATCCAGGCGCAGCCGCTGGTGGCCGATATTAACAACGACGGAGACCTGGAGATATTCATTTGTGAGGAGGTGGTGGGGGGGGGGAATTGGGGGGAGGATTGGGGGGAGTTTGTGTGTGGGTGGTTGTGGTTGTGGTGGTTGTGGGTGGAGCCCATGATGGATGACCGGATCGTTGGAATAAGAACCCGAGTCGGTTGTGTGTGTGTGTGTGTGTGTGTGTAAGGGGGACACAGTAGTGGACGGGGGCCCGCGGGGCTGCTCGGCCGCCATGTGTGTGTGTGTGTGTGTGTGTTTCGGCGTACGATTGATTGTGTGTCATGCCATCCTTGGCGCTTCCTTTCCCCTCGCGGCAAAGTTCACGTAAACGGTACATACTGACATATGTACGCAGACTACATCTTCCCAACCCCGTTGTGGCCTATCATCCCCCCCCCCACCCCTCACCCCTCCCCTCCCTGCCTTCAACCCCCCGGCCCCCAAACCCAAACCCTCTGAAACCCTTCCTCTACCGTAAACCCCCGCCAGCCGACATGCGCGGCAACATGGCTGCCTTCAACGTGAAGGGTGAGGAGGTGTGGGAGCGCCACGTGAGGTCGGCGGTGTCGCAGGTGTGTTTGTGTGTGTGTGTGGGGGGGGTCCGGGGTGGGGGTTTTGGGGTGTGTATGGGTGGAGGTGCAGGTGGGGAGTGTGCGCAGTGGCTGTCATCACCCTGCCGCTGCTACTGCCGCTACGGGTGCTACGGGTGCTACGGGTGCTCCCCATGCCCAAAGCAGCATCAGTAGCACAATCAGTGGCATTTACCCCGGCGAGGACTTCATCTAGATAAAACGCAGGCCCCCACCTACATCGCGCTTTACGTCTGTCTGTGCCTGCGTCCCAGGCCTTGCGCCTCCCTCTCTCCCTCTCACTCCCACCGCCCTCGTGTTGGCCGTTGGCGCCACCGCGTTCCGTCTTCCCCTCATTCGTTCATTCGTTCGTGTGGGTGTACTCGGCCCCGAGGGACATAACCGGGGTGTTCGATAAACACACTCTTCTTACTCCCCTCTTACCCCCCTCCTCCTCCCCACTCCTCCTTTCCCCCCTTCACTCGTTAGTGGTTCGTCGTCCCCTCCCCCTCCCCCTCCCCCTCCTCCCCTTTGGATTGGCGTTGCCCTCTGAACTGAAACTTTGCTTGATGTGCTTCAGGGCGCGGTGGCCGGGGATATCGACGGTGACGGGCAGCTCGAGGTGAGGGAGGGGGATTGTGCGTGCTGCCCTGGCGGATCGGGGCGCGTGTGCTGCTGTGTATGTGTACATGTGGGGTGTGTGTGTGTGTGCTGTGTGCTGTGTGTGTATGGGTGTGTGTGTGGGGAGGGGAGAGGAGTAAAGTTGAGGAGCCATAGAGGGGCCACACTCGAATGGGCGGCATGGCGCAGGGAGAGAGGGTGTTAACCCCCGGTACCGGGAATCGAACCGAATACCTTGAAAACCACCACGCCTGAGATCTGACGGCCGCCCTCATCCCCAACCTGTTTACCTTTTGGGGTATGTATCGTGTGGAGCCCTGGGCTCCTCAAACCCCCATCCATAGAAACCCACCCATTTCCCCCCACCCCACCCGCCCCCACATTCCCACCTGGCCCCCCAACCCAACCCCAACCCGCCAGGTGGTGGTGGGTACGGCAAGTGGCTACATCTACGCGTTGGCGGGATCTACAGGTAAGAGAGAGGAGAGGAGAACAGAGGGGAGGCGAGGGGAGGGGAGGCGGTGGGGGTCGTCCGTCCACCCCGGGGGATGGGGGCGAGGGATGGGATGGCCGTGGAGGGAGAGGGGGTGAAGGCGGTCGGGTCGATAATGATGGTGGTGGTGGAATGGTGTGTGTGTGTGTGTTTTGTTTGGGGGTAAGATGAACCACTGGCGAACGAAGGCAGATACCAGAGATGTTTTTTTTCTGGGGAAGCAGGGGACGTCGTTCCCTGCGGGTGGTGTCTTGATGCAGTGGAATGGGACTTGGCAGCTGCGACCGCCGGGAGGGGGTTGGAGGGTTTGGGGTTAGGGGGGAAGGGCTGTTCTAGGGGTGTGTTTTGCGTGGGAGTTAGGGGGTTTTAGGGTTGTGGTTAGGGGGGAAAGGTGAACAGCGATACAATAGCGTAGCTCGGACTGATAATGAGACTGTTAATGACCCATGGGTCACAGACATCTTCCTCCCTCCCCAACAACCGCCCCAACAGAAAATGTGAAAGTTTTTTCCCGTTCTGAGCCATAACTTTTCTCCCTGCTCCCCTCCCCCCTGCCCCGTCTCGACTTCAATTCCCCCGGGAAATACACACACACACACACACTCCTGCGTACCTCCACACCCGGTGCTAGGTGTCCCGATTCCCAACTGGCCGTACAGGGCGAGGGGCAGGTGAGGAGGTGGACGAGGGGGTAAATGCGGGTATGGGTGGCCGGCGGACAGACTAAGAGTGTTTGTGTGGGGGGGGGAGGGGGATGAAACTGGGAGGGAGGATTGCAGTGAGGGGGAAAGGGGAGTGAAGGGGGGAAAGGGGAGCGAAAGGGGGGTAGGGAGGAAGGGGGGGTAGGGAGGAAGGGGGGGTAGGGAGGAAGGGGGGGAAAGGGGAGCGAAGGGGGGGTAGGGAGGAACACAACCTCCGCCCACCCACCCGCCTGTCTGTCTGTCTGTCACCCCCCTGTTTGTCTGTCGGTTTGTCGGTTCTTCCCCACAGGATCCAGGCCGCGCCCACCATCACCCACCTTGTCGAGGGCACTGGAATGCAGGTGTGCAGTGGAAGGCAGTTTGTCCCCGAGGGAGGGGTGGGGTGGGTGGGTGGGGTGTGTTTCACACGCCGCGACGGGTCACAGGCCTTATCATGGCCCCAACCGCCTCCAGCCCGATTTCTATGTGTTCCCAACTCATTTCGTCTTCCCCCCGCCCGTTACCTAATTGCCTTGTCTCCCTCTTCGCTTTCCCTCCCCAATGCTGGTGTTGGGGGTTTGAATGCGGCTTCGCAGGTGGTTGTTCCCGCATTCGACGGGTTCCTGTACGTGGTGGATGGATTGCAGGTAAGGTGGCGGGTGGCGGGTGGTGGTGGCGGGTAACGAGCTGATGGGGATTGCATGGATAAATGGATGGGTTGGCGGCGGTGGTGGTGGCGGCGGCGGTGGTGGTGGTGGTGGTGGTGGTGGTGGTGGTGGTGATGGTGGTAAAAAACAGTGAAGGGGTGATGGTGTCATGCGAGAAAAGGCCCTCCGCTGAGTATGGGGGGTTGGGGGGATAGTGGGGTTAGTTGTCCGGGTGTGGTGCTTGGGG